ATGTTTTGCCAAGTATATTACTTCAAATGGTTTTCCAAAACGTTGTTACTTGTTTAGATCTTTCTCAAACTATCTTTCATGCTGTATGTTTTCCTTCAAAACCTGTTATAGCAGTGCTTCATACAAAGGTTTTCTTCACGTAAACTGTTTTATCAAATCATTTTTCAAAGCTTGTTTATTAAAGGTTTACCAAAGGTTTTCAAAGCTTGTTTTATAAAATGACATCAAGTTGTAAATTCTTATTTATAAAGTTTTCTAAAAGTTTTACCAAAGTTTCTGTTATGCTTTTATTTTTGTTAAATACATGCCCGTATATGTATAGTTATATAAGTAATGTTTAAAGGATTTAGGAAGGCTAACTCGCTTTGATTCCTTTTCCTTGTTTGGATGTGGCTTCGGGGTATCGGTTATCCGTCTGAAGGTCGTTTAAATATTAGTTATATATCATGTATACAAATATGGACATAAAAGCTCTCTTAGCCAGTTCATCGCCTTGAGTAGTACAATCATCCTTCCTTTATTCATGTTTCTAGAACCCTAAGTAACTATTATAGGAATAGTTAGGAGATTCTCTCTCTCTCTCTATCTATCTATCTATCTATCTATCTATCTATCTATCTCTCTATCTCTCTCTCTTTAGTACGAAGATTTACTTAGGAGTCAGTTCATTTGCGAATCTATACTATTATTATAATACTTTAGAATGTGACACCCTATTTCCCTCTACGACGCTTCATCGCGCCATTGCCGTGTAACCAGAGTCTTATGGAGGGAGAGCGAACATCATGTGTACAGATCTATACGGGACTGACACTCCTGCACCCTGACTGCTAGCTACAATCCGCGCTGGTAAGGCCCATGGGTGACATAATGTCACGAACTCTATGCGTGACCTGGAGGGTCATCGGATACTTTATCGTCGATCAGCATGGTTACATACGAGTTCACATTCACCCCTTGTTTTAGACTTTGCTAGCTGTATCGTTCATTCGATACTGTCTAGAGTCTGTATTTCTTTGTTTTAGACTTTACTAGTTGTATCATTCATTTGGTACTGTCTGGAGTCTGTCTTGTTTTAGAATTTGCTAGTTGTATCATTCATTCGATACTGTCTGGAGTCTGTGCTTCCTTGTGTTAGACTGAGCCAGGCATATCATTCATTCGATACTCTCCTGGAGTCTATGTTTTCATTTGCTTTAGTTAGCAGTATTGCCGCTGAGGTATATATTATTTTCCCCTAGTATTTTTACATGTGATTTTCTCACAATTCCTTTAAAGCCAAAACAGTATTTTGGTAATGATAGTATTTTGGGGAAATTACTTCTTAAAACATAAATCTGTCGAGTCTTGGTAGAAGACTGCTTTTATTAAGAAAATATAGGATTTTCTAGAAAGAACGCTAATACATCGTAGATTCTAAACTACTATCTTTCATAAAGTTATCTTGAATAAAAATGTGTATTTATACAAATGACACTAAATACTTATGAACTCACCAACATTATAAAAATGTTGATACTCGCTTTCAAAATAACTTGTATTCTCAGGTCATCGATAGACATGTACATCCCGGGAGCTTGTGTGAAGTCAGCCTAGAACCAAGCGACATCTATATTATGTTCTGTATTTACTTTTGATGTTTCTATGTAATGTAACCTATGTAAAATTATTACTATTAATGCAATGGTTGTTGTACTTTTTTTACTATACTGCATATGTTGTGATACTTGACATGACGTCTTCCACCCCAAAACGTATTCAGCCGTTTTCGGTTTTGGGGTGTGACATCAATGTTGGACAAGACTTCATACCCCAACATCCCACTCTCATTTGTGCAAAAAAAACTAGTCGCCTATTCAATAATTTTTGAAAAAAAATTATTAGCATCTGTCGCTTAGCGCGAGTAAATGGTTTGTAACACCAGCAGATTCGGGTTAGTCAATTTAGAGATAATAAGCGTCAAAATAACTTTTTTTGATATAAGATTATTTAATAAATAATCTTGACCAAGTCATAGTATACGTCACAAGGGTTTCATATATATAAAGAACGTTGAAATCCAAGTTATAACAAAAAAGTTATAACCCGTCGAAGTTTTACGGCAAAACTGGCATGATACCGGGAATCGTAAAAAGTGAATTTACAATAACATACTTTCTAGCCTTAGCGATCTAAAAGAAAGTCTTAGTATATGTTAAACCGAGATCGTGTATAAAAAGAACTTCCAAATTTGACTTCGTATGAGGAAGTTACGATTTTTCTAAGATTTAGCATAACAGTGCACAACCCCGGAAATTCGAATTTTAGATCGGTTGATTTTTAGCCAAAATAATCTAAATAAGAAATGAAAATATCGTTAATAGGAGTTAAACGATAAAAAGACAGTCAAAAACGGAGTTCGTATGCGAAAATGGACGAAACTTGGTCCCTACTCTTCGAGCACGACGAATTCGATATAGTTTTGTAAGTCTGAGTTAGAATAAGAATTAGCCAACAAGGTCTAAATGAAAGTTGTAGTACTCGTAAATACCAGTACGTGGATATAAATAACGTCAAGAATACAGCTCGTATGCGAAAGATATGGACGAAACTTAGTCTCTACTCTTCAAGCGCGACGAATTCGATACAGTTTTGTAAATCTGAGATACAATGAGAATTAGTCGACGGGGTCTAAATGAAAGTTGTGGTAATCGTAAATAGAAACGAATGGATATAAATACCGTAGAAAACAGAGCTCGTACACGGAAGATACGGACGAAACTTAGGGGATACTCTACGATAAAATCCCTATAAATAAAGGATGAGTCATTCATATTTTCTTCACACTCTAAGCCTTTCTTTTTCTCTCTAGCTTCTCTCTAACTCCCCCATATCCCCAAAGCCTAGGGTACCTCCCTAGCACGAGAAGGAAGCCCCAGAGCTCCCAACGGCTCCGAGAAAAAGAGCTTTCGGCTCGGAAACATTGCTCCAATGAAGCCCGATTTTTAATAAAACCCGCTGTAAGTGAGCTACGCCTACTCTATTTTAAATATATCTTATATTTAAATATAATATCATTATTATGAACCTATAAATAAGATTTATCAGTGATTTAAATTCGTTATACTAATTGATATACTTATGAGGGTGATGTCTAGGTTGTAATTTAGTGAGGTGTTTAAAGTGGGATTTCCAAACAGTATACTTCGTATACCAAACGGACCCTACCTTCGAGATGATCCGACTTGGTTGTTCCTTACTTGATAGATCATGAAAGTAGACTTTGATTTAATAATGAATCAGACTAATAATTAGTCGCAATAAATATTAGACTAAAACTTAGCGATAATAATGCTAGGTTTCGTCGAAGGAAAATAGAATCGTTAAAAGCGAAGCGCTGCCCGAGTTTGGAATCATCACTTTAACAAGTGAGTGCATAGTTGCTTTCATCTTACACATAGATATGAGATATTTTATATAAATTACGTGCTATGTGTGCATATTATGTATATACTTGCTATCTATGTTGGATGAACGATTTTATACAAGTTTTAAATGATTTAAATTGTATATATATATATATATATATATATATATATATATATATATATATATATATATATCGACCAAATATGTTGAGTAAAACATTGGTAGATGAATGATGAGTGATGAAAGCTGATATAGAGGAACATTGGCAGTATAGACATAGTGCCCTATAGGTGAACATTGACAACAATGGACCTAGTACCCTATAAATAAGCATTGGCAGCTACACCACAACCCGTAGATGTTTTTGATCTACAATGTACTCTAAACATCCTAGCAATTGCGCTCTAAGGATAATATCGGCAGTTGCACCTAATAGAGAACATCATAACCTTGACAGCTGCGTCTAATAGAGAATGTCACAATTCTGGCTGCTGCGCCTAAATGATAATATTGGCAGTTGTGCTTAATAGATAATATTAACAGTTGTGTCATTGGAAACGATAGACTTCGTGCCTACTCCTTAGGATTGGATGAGTGAATGGTAAATGATTCTTAGGGTAGATCCTTATGAAATAAAGAAGATAACGGGGATGGATAATTGGGTTGATTGTTTAATGATTAAACATAATTATATTATTATGAGTTGAAAACCCTATATATTCACCAGGTTTCTCAATCTGACCCACTCAGTTTATTTGTATCACAGGTATCGATATAAAGCCACACTACACTGAGAGATTAAAGAGGTGTAGATCACTAGTGTAAAAGAATTTAAGGTCTGTTTATGCTTATGTTTTTGTAGTGACGATGACATCCCAATATTTTTTTAATCTAAACAAATACATTTTTTCGAAAATGCTTTGATAAAACCTTTATCATGTTTTCTGGGAACAAAATTCCGCAACATTGTTCTTTAAAAAATATACACTGATTTTAAAATAAGCATACATAAAATTTTTAAAATGACTGTGAATTTGGGGATGTCACACGGTTAGTGTGTGTGTATGTGTGTGTGAAAATATATGATAGTTCAAATAAAAATAATAAATAGTGTGAAAACGTAAAAACACTATTTTTATTTTATTATCTTGCAGTGAATTTTTTATCCCCAACTTTATGTTATTATTCAACAATGAATAGATGAATAATCACGCGTTAAAACCGTATTAGAATTTACTATAATAATACATATATACAAAATTTATAATAGAATAATAACATTTTAATGAATATATGAATAATTAGACTCTAATATTCACATTAGAATTAATTCAATAATATATATATATATATATATATATATATATATATATATATATATATATATATATATATATATATATATACAACACTTATTGCAGAATAATAACTTAAACATAGTGTGTTTACGTTTTTTCATACTATTTATTGTTTTTATTTGTGCTTACTTCTCTCTCTCTCTCTCTCTCTCTCTCTCTCTCTATATATATATATATATATATATATAAAGTGAATATACCATTAAAAAAATATATAAGCTTACATACACAAATCCATCATACTACGTCGTTTTGTATATTTATATGTTCAAGAATATGTTACAAGAGCATGATTATAAATAAATAAACTCAAAATACAATATTATGAAAATACAAATAAAAACCTATCCAAAACCCCCCGAACCAGTATAACGGTTTAAAAAAAAGAATATGATGAGGTTATAGCTCAAATACCACAAATTCGGACTGGTCCAAACTGATGATACCATAGCCCAGTCAAAGACCTACCCGGTCCATCTGATCCATAAAGCCCAATAGATTCTCCATATGTGCAACCTGTATCTACACACGCATGGAATACAATAATTTGGTAAGATTTTAGCTTATAAGCTAAACTAATTTAGTAGTTATCTCGGATAACTTATCAAAAAATTAGTTTATAATTTGTGGTTAGCTATTTTTGTAGTCTCGTTAAATACTAAATTGCAATAAACTTAAAAAATAAACTAGTTTATGCATTCTATTCAAATCAGAAGATAAAATTTGTGTAATATAACTAATCATGCATATATGATATATGTAATACAACTATCTTATATATATTACTTGGAACAACTTCAAAGTTGTGATGATTATTCTTCTAATACGACAACAAGCGTAACTTTTAGACCACAAAAACGCTGCTTAAACTTCAACCTCCTCTCATAAACACATTTTGAGCGTTCGGGATGCTGAAATCAGCTGGATTCCTATTAATCGAGCACAAAAGAGTCAAATTGTTTTGAAAAATGGCAGCTGTTGAGCTCCTATTCTCTGTCCCTAAACTCACTCGGATCTTTTTATGGACACAAGCACAAGTCGTCCCTATTTCAAAGCCTTGATCATACCTAAATTCAGCTCGATACCCACCAGAAGTACTTGAGGATAATATTGGTGAATAAGTAGTGATATGTTTGCTTGCTTCTCCTTCGACTGTCGATTGAACCATTTGAACTCTTTTTGCATCATCTGTTGAACTTGAAGGATTCTCTTCGTTAAAATGTGTAGCCAATAGCATAACAGCCTCCATTTCAGAATCTTCGTTTGGTGTTTCTGTAGATTGGATACCTTTTTCCTCCACTGGTCTAACCTTTCTACGCTTTGTCATGGCCTGAAAATCCATGTCGTAAATCCTAGTTTTCCTCGAATCATTTTCATGCGAGTCTTTTGATTCACACTTTGACTTTTCTTCATTTTCAAATCTCGTCTCTTCAACACCATTTGTCATCATCTTGTTTTTTGACATTGTGGTAACTTTAACATCCAAGGTGATGTCATCCGACTCGTCTTTAGTATCTGTAGTGGATCTAGTGTTAATGTTGTCAAGATTCCTTAATATATCAGACAACAAACAAAGCTTCTGATGTTTCCTTCGTGGCTGATTTCTTCCAGGTTTATCGTTATCTCCATTTCCATTCGCACTATTTTCAGGTCGGTTTTGATCCTTGTAAATCACCTTGCAAGATTTCGAATCTGGGTATCCATTGTTGACTCGTTTGCATATATTGATTGAATCTGGGTATTCAATCATATGTGTAGTTTGAGATCGATCTTGATCTTCTTTTCCATTGAGAGTTTCTTTGTTAGATGCTTTCAAAAGAGCAAAAGACAAAGATTGAATATCAGCAAGCATCAAATAACATAAAAAAAGTTAGTAGAATCCAATTAAAGGCTTACGATTTGAAGCTTGTTTATGTTCTGGTTTATCATCTGAACCATAATTACGATCACTGGGATAGTTTTGACCACACAAGAATGTAGAATCTACCGATTGATATGAAGCAAAAACATCGTACTTTTCAGGATCACCCAATGATCCAAAAGGCCAACATTTCTTCCGATCTTTCTTGCGAATTTCAGCAACATACTCGCTGATAAACATATTGAAGAACAAATGCATATATGAGAACAAGATCAAACCATTTCATTTTTAATGGAAAATCACACATACCGAATAGAAAAGCTCATAAATTCACTTGTTTTGGTATTTTGTTGTTTGTTGAGACCGATCTCCATTGAAACCGAGTAGATTAATAAACAGCCTACACGGATATCTGATCTACAACACAACAGTCACTACAAAATTGGAAGAACCTAACAAGAATACAGATAATTAAATTAATTAAGACAAGATATCAGTCATATATTATTGACGATAATTTCCACGAGTTCAATTTAAAAACTTCTAAGAAAAAACAATGAGTTGCATACGGTTATATATAGGATTTACTGTTCACTTGCAAAAGTTTTACATTATGTCACAAATTAAGACATTATAGCAGTATGATTTCAAAAAAGCCCAAGAGCATATATAATCGAAATCATATTTAAATATAAAGGAAATACATGCATTTAAATTGTTCAAGGTTACCCTACATAAAATCATACACTCGGACAACACATGAAGTGGAAAGAAAAAACGTGATTGTCGTATCCAAGGAACATAAATATCTGCCAAAAGTAAGTTTCTATCTAAATTATGAAACAAATTAATTGCAATATCACTAAGTGAGATACAACATAAATACAACTTTCGCATCACAAACCACATAATCATATGCATATATTTATAGAAATGGGCTAAGGAATTACAAAAGTTAAGATTTCATTGCTCATATGAGTAAAGGCAGCAATAAAGATCGAACTTTGGCATAAATTCGACTGTTGAAACCGAATGGAACCCTAAAAGCAAAAGTTTATACACATAGTCAACAACATAAACACATAAATAAAGTAAAGATTCATGATTGAATTGATAGAAAAGTAAAGCTCAAATACACCATAACAAACAAGAACCAAGACATACACGCAGTGAATCTGGATGAAAAATATGAAGTTTTTAAAACCTACCTCATGTAGATGATTTTGGATGAAGTTGTCGGTGGGGTTTTTGAAGAATCAACCAAGATCGAAAACCCATCGAAACTCCTGATCTCGTGACGCAATTTTAGCTCAAAAAGTTTTGAATTTCGTGGATGGTATTTGGAAATTGCGTTGATCTTGTAGTGAGAGAAACCCTTGGCTATTTAGGTTTAGAGAGAGAGAGAGAGAGAGAGAGGAGTGTGGCCATAAAATGTTAAAAGAGAGGGGAGAGAGAGACTATTAATGTGGTTTGTATCGTCGCTATCGTGAAGGGCATAAACGGATTAGGCCGTCGCTAAACATATCATGCGTAAAAGGTTAAAAGACATGAACAGGTGACGTGTAGCAATGTCATCTCACGCTTGAGAAGGAAGAAAAAAAAGTTCACATCATTATTTTCACAATTTCAGTGTTAACCCATTAGGTTGTGAAAATGATATTCACTGATAAACTGGTGCTGAAGAAGAGAGATTGTAGAGAGATAGAGACAAAGTAATTCTCCATCAATCACAATCTTCGTCTTCTTCCGTAGTGGGTACCGCGTCACAAGACACCCACTCATGTTTGGAGCGGTATTCACACATAGCCTACTATGCTTAGTCCCTCGATTATAAGTCATTTAAAATCATCCTTCTAAGCTATTATCTATTTGACATATGGTGTCGCCACTTTCTCTTATGCATAATTATATTGAAAAGATTTCCTTACTCTATCTCCCCTTCACCTCTTGTTACATATTAGTTTCCAAAGTATATCTTCATTGTTGTCATTGATTTTCAAAGAGAAATGCTAACTAACCATAAGTGTTAGGCCCAGATGGTTGAGATAATCACATTGCAAAATTAGAGTATTATATTGGGTATAGACAATGGTGTTATGAAGCCAACTATTGTCACCTTACATTTCAACATGTTATAACAAGAAGTGGCGCTGGTATACATATTTTATAACATGTTAAGAAGTGGAGAGAAAATAAGCAAGAAAGAATTTGATTGGTTGATGAAAGCAAAAAATCAATCATATTTCTTGTTTTTTCTTGTGGTTGTTACAATGAATTGTGCTTTAACACCCCTTAACTAGAAAGAGAAGTGGTGTTCATCTTGTTATAATCAAGTTATGAAGTGTCACATCAGCAATAATATCACTTTTCATTGTCCATACTGTATGCTCTTAAGCTTGTATTTCGTAGTAGCATTGGGATCAACATCCGTATTGATCCGTAGGTATGCCGTTTTTAGATAATCTATTGATTACTACAACCAAATATAAGAATTTCTTCTTATTCATATTTCGTTAATGAATTCATTGTTAGAATCAATATATTTTTTTCGTTTTTATTTAATTTCTATTTTTTCAGTTTTCTTCTACCAAAGGCATCCTAAAAATATTATTTAAAGACTTCCAAAACTTGTTTGATCATCTCTTCTAAATAACTATTTTATTTTATTAGCATAATCAGATAAAGATAAAACATATATAACACATATTTATAATTAAATCCGTTAGAATACTATATTTGTACATTAAACTTCTTTATTTAATTGAAAATATAATTAAAAAAACACACGCATACAAGATCCAAGGTTATCTGGTATTGCATTAGCGCTTGTTTATGGTTGATGCTCTCTTGTGCTCCACTTTTGTCTGCCACTCTATAAGCAACATCAACCATGCATCCCCTTGGTCTTTCTTCCCAAAGAATACTTGGGCTTTTTAACGATCATTCTATCATTTTCATATCATGATCGAAAACTTTGAACCTATTTCTTTAGCATAAAATTAGAGAAAATTTGGATCATTAATTTTTTTAAATGACTGAATTTAGGAGAAGATATGATTTAGACTGTAAAACCCAATTCGTATATCAGTCTCTAAAAACTCAATTGGTGCGGAATCCCAATCAAGTTGATTAGCAATAAATCGATTAAGACACAAATGGATAATTTCAATTATATTCGATAATAGTCAAGTACAATGAAATCTTACAAACTCTCCGTTCTCTCTAGCTCCCTCTAAATTCCGAACCAACAACCTTTACAATGTATTGAGGAGCAACTAGTTATAGCTAAACCTAAACCCTAATGCAAAGCCCAACCTACATACCGAAATCTATTAAGGCCCACCGAAATCTCTTTGAGATTTTGGTCGAGACGCAATCGAAATCATAGAGATTTCGGTCTAAGACCGAGAACACTAAATGCCATAAAAAGCAAAGTATAAACCAATAAATTATGTCTTAACAATTTGCTCATTGGTTTATAGCTTTCTTTTCTTTTCAATCTTTTCTTTGTTCTTGACCTTCAGCATTTATCTTCGATTTCTTAAGATGAACATATGAATTTCCTCACGAATGACTTCAACTTGAATAGTTGGACTTCCTTTTAAGAATTTGACTTGAAACGCACATTGGGTGTAAATGCTTCTTGTAAAGGTTCTTTAAAATTATCACATTCAGCTTTGAAATACTTCAGATATAATGATAGAGAGACCGATTCTTCTGGATCACTTCAGCAGGTTCATAAATAGCAGCAAATTGATTGAGTATGCTTCAATATAATTCGTCACATAACTTCAAATACAACTTCACATTGCTTATGGGTTTGAAAGATTGCGAGTTGAAAGATAATCTTCATTTCTTGTTCCTTCGAAAGCAACCATGACTTAAAAAGTCCATGTGGATCACAAAGTCATAAAGACCCTTCTCACCACAGTTGTTCAAGAACCCAACCTTGGCTCAGATGGAGACTACTTGTAGTATCTGTGTGAACACGGAGGAACTCAATGTGATTTGTTGAATATCGGAGAACTACTTGTGGCTATTTTTGAATATTAGCCCCTGCATATCCTTGATCAAAGATCTCTATTGGGATTAGTTGTTATTTTATATGGTTTCCTATTTGGTTTGGTTGACTCGCCTGAAAAGCTGCCACCTCAGTTGTTATTTTTCTGCCCATAGCCATGCTCCTTTGCTGTTTATCCTCTGCCACCATGTGACAAGCATTGCTTAATGTAGGTATTGGTTTCATTGCAAGGATTTGAGTTTGTATAACTGCAAAACTCATTATCTAGTCCCAACAAAAACTCATACACACGTTTGTTCTCCTTTAATTCGACCAACCTTTTTTCCACTTCACACTTACAACCATTGCATGAACATCGTGGTGTCGGAAAGACAACATTAATCTTATCCCAAATTTTCTTGAGCTTCATATAATATGTCGAAACCAAAGCCCCATCTTGTCGGGTGACATTCATTCATTCAACGATTGGTTCAACTCATACGCTCTTGGTTGACTTTCTTTGCCAAAGCGTTCGTTTAGATCGTTCCAGATCTCAGCCGTTGTGTTTGCATATTTCACATTGGCCTGTATATCTTTATCCATCACTGTCATTAACCATCCCTTAACCATGGCATCACACTGCATCCATGGTATATAGTCTTTGTGTTCGTTTTTCGGTTTCCCGATTGTTCCGTCAACAAACCCGATCTTGTTCTTGGAAAGCAAGAAATTCGTCATCTCTTGTACCCAATCATTGGAGTTATTATCCGACAAACTATTGTTGACCTGCATTTATCTCAGATAATCTGATAGATGAAGATATAAAGGTGAGTTTGGATCATTCTGATCATTAGACTTAGATCCGTCATCACCTGCCATTAGGTTTTCCGAATCAAGGATCTTAATTTTGAGTAATCTGCTCTGATACCATGAAGAAAATAGTAAATAGAGAGATCCAAAATTGATTCTTTTTATTTCTGAATGAGGTTGCAAACGAGATACATGATGATATAGAAGAAAAAACCTCAAGAAAAAGAAACAATATTCAGAGAGGGGATTTGTTAAATCGTGAATTGTTCTTGAACTCTTTGGTGGCAATAAGGAGCAAGTCCAAGACCAGACACCACAAGCAAACATGGCAGGTACATACGATAATGATTTTGAATGGGGTGTTATGGATTCAGGGGAAACTGAGCACATGATCTCTCAACGAGAGGTGCTAGATAATGTTGTCAATGAATCAAATGAAGCACCTATTACAATTGCTAATGGGGACGACGCACCTATCAAAGGCAATGATGATGTCCTCCACAAAGGAGGAATTAAAATAAAAGGGGCTTTGTTTGTTCCAAATTTCAAATAAATTTGGTATCTGTTCGACGACTAACGAAGGACTTGTATTGTGCAATCACCTTCTTTCCGGATTTCTTTGTGATACAGGACTTGAAAACGAGGAGCTTAATTAGAATGGGTAATTGCACGAAGGGTCTTTACCGAATGGGAGTGATGCAAAAGGAAAGAAAAGCATTAGCGGTTACTTCTTGTACGTGGCACAAAAGACTTGGTTATACCCCCAATGTTAAGTTGTCCCATATAAGTTTTTTTAAGCATTTTGATTTATAAGACAATGTTTGCGATTCATGCATTCGAGCTAAATTTACAAAAATTCCCTTTCCAAATAGTTCCATAAAAACAAATTATTGTTTTGACTTGTAACATCCAAAAAAATTCAAGTCAATTTAAAACTTTTTGAATCATTTAAAACCATTAATTATTACAAAGTTTGTTTTTAAAAATAGTTTAATCATCAGAGTATCCCCAAAATCAAATCATGAAAATATAAGGAGGTCCACGATCACGCCTTCACCTTCCCACGATCATTAGAAGTACCTGAAACATAATCAACAACTATATGCCTGAAGCTTAGTGAGTTCCCCCAAAATACCAATGACATACAGATGTAACCATATCATATAAACAAACAACATGTATAATAAGTCATCAACCTTACTAGACCGCCTCACAGACTTTCAGTCTATCTGGACCGCTCTCCGAGCCTTCGGCACGTCTGGACCGCCTTGCATGGCCTACAACCTATCCAGACCGCTCGTCGGGTCTTCGACCTGAATGGACCGCCTCGTAGGGCCTTCAGTCTATCCGGACCATCCTGGGTATGTTCGCCTTTAGCACAAAGCAGGACCACCTCAACCTAACCCCTAATCAAACAATCATGTTGGTGGTTGTCGAGGCCAACACAAATAATTACCCTAAATATTACACACTAAAATAGTGTATAGCAGTAAAGGGATCGAATCCACGGAGATTGGTTCAATTTATAACTCTATGAAAAATCTCTTTGTAAATATACTTGTAAAATAACAGTAAAAATAAAATGGGGGAATTAGGTGTATTGAAATACTTGAAACAAACTAGAATTAACTATGAATTAAATAGACAGT